TGGAGTGGACATGGCTGGGTAGATAACCTGGTGTCCTATTCAAGTTATATAGACAACCTTTTTATTTGGAGGGGATGTATCACTGCAGCACAGGATTTTATCAGGTTTTTAAATTCGAACCAAGAAGGTATTATTTTAACCTCGGAGAGAAGTGATACCGAAATCACATACCTGGACCTTAACATCTATATCAATAACAATACAATTAATACAAAAAACCCATTTTAAAGATGTACATGTTAATTATATTGATACAAAAAATTGCCACAATAAAACGTGGTTAGATAGTATCCCAAAGAGTCAGATGACCAGATTAAGGAGGAATTGTACAGACACTACTATTTTTATGGAACAGGCTAATAATATAAAAAAAGTTTTCTACATAAAGGGTATGATGACAAAATGATAGAATCTACTATACAAGACACGTTTGCCGTTAATCGAGACCTGATACACAGAAAAAACCCAATTAAAAAATGAGGTCACTTTGCCTATAGTATTAGACTATAAGGATAAAAATAAACATCTGAGAAAGATTATTAATAGATATTGGCACCTCCTAAAAGAAGATCCCATTCTTAGAGGCATAATCTCTGAAAGACCAAAAAGTGCGTTTAGAGGCGCCCCTAATTTAAAGAGACACCTCACGAAAAACTACACTAAGGATAATGAAGAAGGGGCTAGTAATTCCATGACATCCAGAAAAGTTTTTTTCAGGTGTAATACGTGTTTAGCCTGCCGAAAACCAAATTTAGCAGTAAAACATATGACTACGTTTAAATCGAATAACACCGGCAAAATGTACAATATGAAAGAAAGTATTACTCTTGGAAGTAAAAATTTAATTTATCTGCTAGAGTGCCCTTGCGGCCTCCAGTATGTCAGACGTACCATAAGACCATTAAGAGTATGGATTAATGAACACTGTAGAAATATTGAAAAAAAATTATAAAAATCACTCAGTGTCATCTCATTTTTGTATACACAACAATAACCCCAAACACCTCTTATGGGATAGCCACGGTAAAAAAAAATCATTGGAGAGGAGGAGACCCTATTAAGAGAATAGGACAAACAGATGGAGTGGGTCTTCAAATTAGATACCCTACACCCAAAGGGGCTAAATGTTGAGTTTGACCTTTTTAATTTTCTATAAATATTATTTATATTTTGAATTTATATTTTTAAGATTCTACAATATTTTTTAGCCCACTTTCATTATTATTATTATTATCATCATTTATATAGCGCCAACAGATTCCGTAGCGCTTTACAATATTATGGTTTGTTTCAGTTTCATCTGTGAAGTAGTTACTCTTACATTTTTATATTGCCATAATTTTTTATATATTTTTATATTTATCCTGCCTTTTATCGCTGTTTTATCTCCTACCTTTCCATTATATTAAGTTATTTATGCATTTACATTTTTTATTATTTCCACCTTATACCGTTAGTCATCCAACTGATTTTTTTTGCTTCTATCACAATCTAGTCTTTAATTATATCACTATGTGTATATAAAATATTACTGGACACACTGTGTATTTTAAATTCCAATGCTTCTTTCTTTTAGTACCATAGTCTCCATTCTCAAGATGTATTTTATAGTTTGCATTATAATTATTTTATTTGGTCTATAGTGGTCTTTATAGTACGTTTTAGTGTATGTATATATTTTTGTGCACATTATGTGACTGCACATTGGAATTTGAACATTAGTTTGTTATTTTCTATATGCTATGAAGCATCACTAAGTATTTTTTTTATTAACATTTGCTGGCTTTGCCGAAAAACGGCCAGAACTACTTTTAGATGCAAAAAATAGTACATGCTGACATTCCCTCACTGGATGGAAATACCAGTCCACGGACCGATTTCCATAATAACCGCCCACAGTCTGGGACTTATGTTATTTAATATGGTGGGCGTTGCCACGCTGTCCGGGACTGCATGCGTTCCAAGAGTAGAACGCAGTACGCTACCATTGGCTTATATGCCGCGTCACTTCCGGTGTGACGCGAGTCTCCCCCCCCATTTAAGTTGTACCCCCCTCAGGTCTCCCCATAGATATAATGGATCCCCCCTTTATGTTATTATCCCTCCCAGGTTTCTCCATGACATAATGGGGTCCCCCTCCCCCTTTTCTGGTGCCCAAGAGGCTTTAGTATGTGCAGTTAGTTATGTTCAGTGTATATATGTATGGTTTAGACAAGTTATGTTCAGTCTCTGTATTTATGTTTTTTTTTTTTTTTATTGGCTGATGTAATCTTGTATGTTTATTTGCTGGTTGGTGCTTGTTTTGTTTGTTTCTGTTACATTTGTTATAAGATATTATGGATGCTTTCTAAAATCAAGAAACATATCCAGCTCCAACCACTTGGGGCTGGATAGTGGAAGGAGAAGGCTGTGTGCTGTTTGAGCTCCTGATTACTTCCAGACACACCCTGTGGTTCGTTTTTTCCCTGCCCTGCTGGAGTGCTTCATTTTGGGCTGTTTGGAAACTACTGTGGAGGGTCTTTCTGGACCTATCAAAATGGATTCAGGTCCTTCCTCCCCTGCCTGGGTATGGAGGGCCAGGCTGGAGGAGCTGGAGAAAAACTTTGTCTTTGGGGCAGAAGCACCTGTGGCTGGGAGTCTGTCCTGGGTGGAACACCAGGCCCTCTCCAGGACTGTTCGTTTGCAGGTAAACCAGTTGCAAGAACTGGAGGGGGGGATGGCTAGAAAGCTCACTGAATGGAAGAAGGGAGTGGGGGTCGCCCAGGGAGCAGGGGTTTCCTACAAAAAGGAGATAATGCTCACTGGGGTGCTTCTTTATGCAGGGAGCACATTGCAGCTGGCCTCCACTTCCTATAGCATCCCCCCCCTCCCCTCCACTGGAGCTGGAAGAGGGGGCCCCATGGAGGTAGTTCCTGAGATGCCCCAGGAAGAAGTGTGTAACACCAGTGCCCCACAGGCCTCCTTTACCTATGCTAAGGGCGGTTAAGGAGCTGCCTTCAGACAGACTCCTAGCCATATTAAAGACCCTGAAGGCCAGCCATGAGGAAGCCAACAACAGCATAGCTAGTGTCCAGGCAGACCTTAAAGAGCAAAGAGAAATCAAATAAGACTTCAAGCAATAAAAGAGGTCCCATTAGAGCCATTATTACAGAAAGAAAACTGCAAGAGCAGCAAATCAGTTACAACTTGCTGCAGCTGGAGGCAAAAATTGCAGATATTTAAACAGTCATGCAGCAACGTTTGAAAGCAGTAGCAAGGACAAGGAGTCAGGGCATCCTGGAGGGTAGAAGGGATATCTTTGCCGGTGAGGAGTCCAGTGTGGAGTCAGAAGGGGACCAAACGTCCTCACCGGAGGGAGACGCCCTCCTCCTTCAGCCTCACCAAAGGGCCCTGCAGCACCTGCAGCAAACACTGGAAGGAAGGCCAGAGACTGAGAGAAGGAAGAGAAAAGAGGCACCTGGAAGCTTAACATCCCAGAGGACAGGGGTCAAGGGCACATAAAAGAAACCCTCCTAACCTTTGGGGATGATCTGGGTGAAGACATAACAGTAAAGAAAAAGAGTAAAAACCCAGCAACGCGACCGTCCGAGACCCCTGTCTGGGGGTCTGGAGGATGAGAACAACCCCTCAGAGTATTCTTACTCTGAGGAGGAATTTCCAGCCTTGCAGGCTCCTGGGGCTAGGGATAGCAACCCCACAGGTGACAACACCTGTGTGCCTCAGGAGTCTGCCCACCCTACCTCAGTCGATGTCTATGGGCCCGCCACCGCCTTCCATGGTGACAGGGAGACCATCCCCACTGGTGTCATGGCGGACACTAGTGAACCCATGGAGGGGGCTTTCCTCTCCTCCCTTCCCATTCCCTCCCCCCCGACCTTCCTTCTGTCACCTCCGCTGCAGGGGTCCTTGGTGAGGCTGGATCCTCAGGTGGCTGCAGGACGGTCTGATGCCTTGGACCCAGATGTGGCAGGTTGTGTTACTGTACTGGGCAGCCTGTTGGGAGGTCAGCTGGCGCTGCTGGGCCTTCCATGAAAGCTGCTACGGCTGCTGAGGCTGTGCAGCACATTGGGAGAAACAATGGTGCCGTTGGACTTTCCCTGAAGGCTGCTCCAGCTGCTGTGCAGTCCTTGGAGGGAATGGATGATGGCTCTTCCACCTCTGCTCCAGTGGTTCCCAAGTTTATCCCTCCCCCGTCTGTACCCCTGTCTCCCCCCCCTGCACGATCGTGCATGTGGGTGATGTGCACGATCATGCTGGCTGCACATGCCACGGGTGCCCGTGCGGGTAGTGGTTGCATGTGTCCATGCGGGTGCCGGACTCCCATCAGCCTCAGCCAGCTGTACAACTCAGCAGGACTACTGCTGAGGGTAAGTTGATGTGTAACAACTTGTTGTCTGACCCCACTGATGGTCCTACACCGGCTGGGGGTGATGGGAATGGGGAAACAGGGTATGTAACTGAGCCCACTGGCTATGTTACACTGGTTAATGTATATGAAGAGTTCATTCACAGCCAGTTTGCGCCCCCTGTCCCTCCCT